CATATCTGCCCAGCTATTAATTCTACCCACTAACCTACAAATCAACCCTCCCCTCCCAGCCCCCAGATCAGTCCAGTTCCCTAGCCCCCAACATTTGCCCTGCCCCCAGATCAGTGCTGCTCCCTCATCTGCCTTGCCCTCCAAGATCTGCCCTGCCCCCACATATGCGCTGCCCTCACAGCCCCTAGATTAGTGCTGCCCCTCACATATGCCCTGCCCCACCCATCCTAACCTCTGCTTCTCCTACACAGCCTGGAGTTCTTCACACACACACACCCAGCTGCTCGGGGGGCTACAGCAGAGTCCCACCCCTGGCCCCAGGCTGGGTGTTGCAGAAGGGAAGGGGGGAGACACAGAGGAAACTGTGTCTGTCTTTCTCACAGAAGGGGAAGGGGGGGGAGCAGAGCTGCCCTGAGCTGGGGGGGACTGTCTCTGCTCCGCACTCCCCTCCTGTAAGAAGGCTCTGAGCTTTGCCAGACCAGGTCCAGCATCCTCTGAAATCCCGTCACTCGTGGAGAAAAAAAAAACATTGCCAAGGTCAGCGACACTGTAAAAATGCCACATCTCTCCCCTGTGCTGACGCACTGTTCACTGCAACCCCCATCCCATCCCCGTCTCCGTCTCGTCACCTCAGGCTCACAGCTGGTGTCGTCTGGGTTCGATATGGTTATTTCTGTTCAGCCACAAAAAAAAGTCCCCCCCCCCATTTAGCACTAAATATATAACAGTCCCTTCTCTTTGCAGCTGGCTGGCACACCTGCAACATGTTTCCTATTGCTCAAGAATCAACTAAGAGCATGTAAGCAATGGGGAGGGACATTTTTTAACCTTGCTTAGACTTTGGAAGACCATTTTAATTGGTTTCAGAGTAGCAGCCGTGTTGGTCTGTATCAGCAAAAAGAACAGGAGTACTTGTGGCACCTTAGAGACTAACAAATTTAGCTGAGCATAAGCTTTCGTGGGCTACAGCCCACTTCTTCGGATGCATTTTAATTGGGACCGCTAACCAATTCCAGTGGGGCCTCAAGAAGTAATTGGTTTAAACTGTGGCAAGGAAGATTCAGGTTAGACATTAACTAAGCCCTGGTCTACATGAGAAAGGGTACGTCTACACTAGAAACACTACAGCAGTGCAGCGGACTGTCTACACCGGAAGTAAGGTTGTCTTAACTATGTATCTCTGGGGTGTGAATTTTTCACACCTCTGAGCAACATAGGTGCATCATCGACCTAACTCTCTAGTGTAGACCAACCCAAAGTTGCATCTAATTTAAACTGGTTTCTAACCTGGTTTGGTTAACGCACACCCACAATCCCACCCCACATAGACACTCTTATTTTGAATTTATGGCCAGTTCATTCTGGTTTAGCTTAAACCTGTTCCTAACTGATCTGAGCTAAAGTGAAATAAGCCACTCTCAAGCTCTAATAAGAGCAAACACGTTTCAATTTAGCTAAGATGCAGTAATTTTTAATCTGATTTCAGTTCAACTCTCTCATGTAGATAAGCCCCACGGCATCTTTATTATTATGTAAATTGCAAAAGCAACTAGGAGTCGTAGTCACGGACCAGAACCCCCTTGCTGGACAAACACAGAACAAGGATGATCCATGCTTTGAAACAAGAGACAATGGGTGGGTGCAGGCAGACGGACGGGGGAGTACAAGGGAACAGTGAGACAATATGTGTGATCAGCTGCTGGGCGTATCGTCATCCGTAGACCGTATGTTGACTTTGTTTTTCCCGGTGGGTGCTCCACCCTCGCTCCACCCCAAGACTCTTTTCCCCTGAGGACCCACCCCCACTCCACCTCTTCCCGTTTAAATGATAAAATTAAAGGGAGAGGGGCTGGGGTCACTCTGGCCGGCCAGGCACAGCGGGGGTCAAAGTCCAGGGGCCAAACAGTGGGATTTGGGTCCGGACGCACACTGGGGCTGGGGTCCAGCTTGTGGGGCTGGGATCTGGCCACTGGGGCTGGGAGTTAATGGTTAATGTTAACATTTTACATCTCTACTTCCTGCCCCGCTCCACCACCTGCCCCAAGACCCCACCTGCCCACTGCTCATTGCCTCTGCCCTCGTCCAAGAGCCGCTGAACAGCTGTCGCGGCTGGGTGCTGAGCACTCCTGGATTTGGCGCCTATGCGGACCCCCTTGTGCTAGGTGCTGGACAAACACAGAGGAAAGATGATCCATGCTTCTAATCTAAGTATGAGACATGAGACAGCGGGTGAGTGGGGGCCCACGAGGCAATAGTGAGACAATGTTAGTCAGCTCTGTAGCATGTATTATTCCTCTCTGTAACATGCTTATAGCAAGCAACAAAGAGTCCTGTGGCACCTTACAGACTAACAGATGTATTGGAGCATAAGCTTTCGTGGGTGAATGCCCACTTCGTCAGACGCATGCGCATTCACCCACGAAAGCTTATGCTCCAACACATCTGTTAGTCTTTAAGGTGCCACAGGACTCTTTGTTGCTTTTTATAGATCCAGACTAACAGGGCTACCCCTCCGATCCTTATAGCATTTACTCATCATTTATTAACCATTAATAGACAGAACTATAAGAAGTGTGACTGCTTTATGTTCCCCCTTCAACCTGACAATGACACTGGGATAAAGCTGGTTCAGATCCTCCACACACCTGGTGGTGTCACAACCCACCAAGAGACAGGCTCTACATTCTACCCTCTCAGCCAGCAGCGCCGCTCACAGAGACTCTCTTCTCTATTGGCCATGAGACCAGAGCAGATCATGTCTCTCACCTACTCATAGTGAGAGAGCAGAATGACCGATCCATCTCCTACAGACCGGAGACTCCCTCTCCGTCAATTAGACACGATTCCTGCAACAAGCTCAGTATCAAACTCAACCAATCTCTGGAACGAAGCACCCGGATCCGGCACGGCCCCCTCCCTGCTCTTGGAAAGTTACACAGCTCCGGGCATCTGGAATCAGGAGGTTCTAATGGCAGCCGGTTTGTTAGTTTAGCTACAGCAGCTGCTCCTGCTACAACCCCCAACCCCGAGGGATGCTGCAGAAGGGAGCTCACTCACCAGGTTATCTTCTGCTGGGACCAACAGGGAGCTGGTCTCTGAGCTGAGCCTGGTGAGAAAGAAGAAATAGCCTCTAAAGAATCAGTAGGATTAAGAACCATAGGCATGCGCAGCCCATTTCATTAGAGTGTGCAACCAGGGAGCCCCGCCCTAGCCCCGCCCCTGCCCTAGCCCCGCCCCCATTCACTCCCTCCTACTTCCCACCCCCTGACTTCCCCCCTCAGACCTTCCAACTCCCCCTGCTCCTTGTCCCCTGACTACTCCCTCCTGGGACCCCTGCCCCTAACTGCCCCCCACCCCCGGACTCCTACCCCCTACCTAAGCCTCCCTGCTCCTTGTCCCCTGACTGACCCCTAGGACTCTACCCCCTATTTGTCCTGACCCTTTTTTTCCCCATAAAGCTTCTCATGCCCCCTCCCCCAATACATTTGGCACCCCAGCCCCAGTTTGAGAACCTCTGGGCTAGAGAACCAGGCAGGATGGCTTCCCATGGCCCCTTTTCCCAGGGTTTCAATTTGGGGAAAGTTTAACCCTTTTTGCTGCCTGCATCCCTTGGAGGGAAGGGAAATGAGGTTCCCATACCCAGACTATTACAGGGACACAGGGGAGGAGGGGAGTGAAATGGGATGGGGGTGGGGAGGAACATGACAACTCCACATGAGCAGAAGAATACAGTGGGAGTGGATTGTGTTCTTCTCACAATCCGCTCCCTAGCTTCTCACACACACACCTGATCTCCAACCCCAAATAGACACACTTGCATCCACACCCACATTAAATCACTTCTCACTTGCATCCCTGGGCCACCACCCGCAGTGCAAGTGGGGACAAAGCTCCTGCTCCCCCATGGCTGCTGCAGCCTTCCCCTTCTTTACCGATGGCGCAGCGCTGGGGTGTTTGTCTGCAGCCAACAGTTAGTTCCCTGCCATCGGCAGCCCAGTTCCGAAGGAAAGGTTCCAGGAGCTCGCTGGCTGGCTCGGTTTGAAAGGACGACTTGCTTTCCTGCCGCCCCTTAGCTTTGGGCACTGGGGGCCTCACAGACCCTCGTGTTTCTCCACCCCTGCATCCTGTTTGGGATGTTGCAAAACTTCCGCCTCTGATCCTCCGTCGCCCGCTTGTTGCATTTTCAAACAAACCCCTTGGGGCTTTATCCCACCCTTGGGAGGAGCTCAGCGCTTAGCCCTGGGACCTCCTCTGCCCATGGCGTTCAAGGCGTGACCTCGCACGTCCAGTACGTGTGAGCTCACGCTTTGCACAGGGCACCATCGTTAGCGGCTTCAGCACCCTCTTCAATTAATAAATGAAGCTCTGGAAGAGCTCCCTGTAAAAATCTGCAAAACTAGTTCAAAACTTCGATACTGAATGGGGGTTTGCAGAATGTTACAGGGGGGTTGCCAGAAAAATGTCACTAATGGCGGCCAGAGGACCCTGGGCATTGGAGGCAGCAGGTGGGACCCGGTTGCAGGGCAGACAGCCCGAGCCCCAAGGAAAGCGGGGCCGGGCAGTTGGGGCCGGCAGCCCAAGTGAGCCCTGGCGGTCAGCGGGACCTGCAGCAGAAGCTCAGTGGAACTCAGTTGACCAAGGCGATCAACGGGGTTCAGCAGCAGGAGCCCCACAAAGTGCGGAGCCGGCAGCCCAGACCTCGGCGCGGGGCCAGTAGCCTGCGCCCTGTGGTGGGCAGGGCGGCAGCTGAGACCCCAGGCGTGCAGGTGGCAGCTCGGACCCCCGTCCTTGTCAGACAGGGGAAGTTGGCATCGAGGGCAGAATGAGCAGGGGCCACGCTCTATGTGGGAGGTGGTCCAAGCTAATTTGTTCCTCACAGGACACCCTCGTACGGACGGACCTCGTGGCGGAAGTAAAACTGTTTACAAGCCAAACTAGCCAGAAGCACGTTGTAGCCCATGTAGCAATGTTAAGGTGCCTCAGTAATTGTCATTCTCTCTGGAGTGCTGTTTTGCTTCAGTGAGACTTGAGTGACTTGTCTCATTTTCTAGTTTGTTGGTTGTTAGCAGTCTCTCTGGGTTGTTTTTATTAGAACTTTTGTACACAAGTTCAATGGATAAGTGGCTGAAAAAGGCAAGTGTAAAGACGCTGGAATCAGCTAGTGTTTCCTCAAGTCCACACTGTGGAAAATCTACGTCTAATGATCACGATGGTCCTTACAAAGAAAAGAAGATATGACAATGCTTATATAAAATATGGCTTTACATGCATTGGTGATCAAGAACATCCAAAACCACTGTGTGTGATTTGTGGTGATGTTCTAGCAAACAGCAGCCTCAAACCTTCTCTACTTCGGCGCCATTTAGAAACTAGGCATCCTGCACAACTCGACAAGCCTGTTGATTTTTTCAAGTGAAAATTAGCTGAGAGGAAAAGTGACATTACCAGTTTTCTATCCAAAGCAAGTACTGATAATGAAAATGCACTTAATGCATCATACCGTGTGAACTACCAAGTAGCAAAAGCATCAGAAGCCCCTAACATAGCAGAGAGGTTGATTGGTCCATGTATAAAAGATGTAGTTCATTGCATGCTCGGAGAAAAGGCTGCAAAAAGGATTGACATGGTACCTTTTTCCAATAATACGTTGTCACGAAGAATTAATGACATGTCAAATAATGTAGAGACCACAATTGTACATAGAGTGAAAAATAGTCCATATTATGCTATACAGTTGGATGAATCAACTGATGTAGCTAATCTAGCTCTTTTGCTAATGATGTACGTTATGTGAATGAAGGTCTGGTTGAAGAAGACTTGTTTTGCCGAGCACTGGAAGAACGTACAACTGGAGAAGATATCTTCAATCTGACTAATGCATATTTTCAAGAAAAGGAAATAGATTGGTCTCATTGGATCAGTGCACTAAAACTGAGGAAATTTAAACTTAAATGCCTGGAAATATTCATTTTTAGGAGGGGGTTCACACGATTTCACAATTTAGTCAAAGCGGTTCGCGGGTCATTAAAGTTTGGGAACCACTGGTCTAGAGGAATTCCGATCTCGTCTGAAAGGAATTTTGTGTCATCCAAACCAGCACGGCTCAGCAAGTAACCTCAGTTCATTGTGTCTCTGAGCTGCCCTTTGCCTGGCGCGGTCACTGCCGGTGGAAATCCAGTTGCTGTCCCAGCCTGTGGGCATCATGCAACGCAGGGACACGCGGCCCCTTGCTGTCTACACCAACTCAGTCATCAGCCACGCTCAGGGCCAGTCAATAAATATACCTGCTTCAGCTGATATTAGAGAGACCAGGTGGGGGAGGTGATAGCTTTCATTGGACCAACTTCTGTTGGTGAGAGAGACAAGCCTTCCAGCACACACAGCTCTTCTTCAGGCTTGTCTCTCTCCAACAGAAGTTGGTCCAATGAAAGATTGTATCTCCCCCACCTCATCTCTCTAATGTCCTGGGACCAACAGGGCTACAACTCAGCTGATCTTGTGTTTCCTCAGCTGACATGATGTGGGGTAGTGACATCTAGTGGCTGCTCACAGTACTGCTCACACGTGTGCCATTCAAGCAGGTATTAAAGTAATGCAGTATGGGGTACCCAAACATTTCCAGAGTGGAGGCCACACCTGAACAAAGAGAGACACTAGGCCCTACTGTCTTGTTTTCTCTCCCTTACTTGACCCTGCTCCTCTCTGGCTCCCCCTCACCCAGCCCCTGCCTCCCTTCCTTCTTGTGTCCATGTAACACCCCTGTGGCAACTACAGCCGTCCTTTACATTGAAAAGTGACATGAGGATATTATAAGCAGCCATATTCTCTGAAGTGGCCTCAATTTTGGTTGCCCAAATATAAACACCTAAGTTGTCTCAAGTTAAGCGGCCACGTGCTGAGGCATCCAAAATCAGTGGCCTCTTTTGAAGATGTTAGCCTTAGTGCTTTGAAACGCTGGCCATATTATTTATCATCACTAGGAAAGGGTTAAGGCACTGGGCTGGGACTCAGGAGACCTTTGTCCCTCTTGTCTATTTAGACTTTAAGCCCTTTGGGACAGCGAATGTCTCTCCCTGTGTGTCTGTGCAGCGCCCGGCACAACGTGGCCCTGATCTCAGCTGGGGCAGGGACTGTCTCTCCCTGTGTGTCTGGGCAGTGCCCAGCACAACGGGGCCCTGATCTCAGCTGGGGCAGGGGCTGTCTCTCCCTGTGTGTCTGGGCAGTGCCCAGCACAATGGGGCCCTGATCTCAGCTGGGGCAGGGACTGTCTCTCCCTGTGTGTCTGTGCAGTCGCCTGGCACAACGGGGCCCTGATCTCAGCTGGGGCAGGGACTGTCTCTCGCTGTGTGTCTGTGCAGCGCCCGGCACAACGGGGCCCTGATCTCAGCTGGGGCAGGGGCTGTCTCTCACCGTGTGTGTGCAGCGCCCGGCACAACGGGGCCCTGATCTCAGCTCGGGCACGGGCGT